AAACCAGTTCTTCCCACTGCGCTGCCTCTGCTGCCCTCTTGTGGAGAAACATGGTGCTGACAGGCAAAACCCAGGAGGCAGAAGCACAGGTTAGAAATCGCAATTAATTCTGGCTTTCTTTCTCTCTCTCTCTCTCTCTCCCTTCCTCTCCCTCTCGTTCTTAATGTACAGAGGGGTTAAAGTTACATAAATCAGTTAATGAGGACAGTTCTTTTTAAACAGTGTCGTCTCCTCCCTCATTTTCTCTCAGCTTTTTTTTTCCTTCCTTCCCACCAAGTTGTATAATTCATTTCCAACATAGTGTCTAGTGACTACCACTGCTGAATTACTGGCTTCTCTTTCAGACAATCAATCCTGCCTATTGGTCTCTTTACCGCTTCCCCTGACTTCACCTTCTCTGTGGTTTGTGACTACAGCAGAACAATTTGTGCTTTCCTGTCCAATCGACATGGTGGAGAGAATTCTGAAACAATACAAGGAGACCTTTGTGCTTTATAATTCTCTTAAAACCCTACTTCTAGACTCTTGTACAAGCTAGTCACTGCCCTGTGCCTTAAGGAAAGATTCTGACCAAGCATCCTGGGAAAATTGGGTATAGTTTTCTTTTTCTCTAATTTTTTTTCTTTTGTGCCAGGACTGGGGCTTAAACTGAGGGCCTGGGCACTATCGCATAGCTTTTTTCACTCAAAGCCGGCTCTGTATTACCTGAGCCACAGCTCTACTTCCCACTTTTCTTGGAGGTTAATTGGAAATCAGAGCCTCACAGACTTTCCCACCCAGACTGGCTTCAAACTGGGATCCTCAGATCTCAGTCTCCTGAGATTAGAGGTGTGAAGCACAGGTACTTGTCCCATTGGTATTTATCCCTCTGGGCCATAGTTTGTTACTACAGAAGATCTATATGTGTTCTCCTGTCTAATCAACATGGCTGACAGAATTCTAAAAAACAACACACGTGGCCTTTTGTGCTTTAACATGCCTTAAAACCTGACTTCTGGACTCTTGTAAAAGCTCATCACTCTCCTATTCCTTAAGGATAAATTCCCACCAACCATCCTGGAAAAATCTATATTTAAAAGAAATATACGTCTCAATAAATTAAGTTTATTTGCTGGTCCTGGGGCTTGAACTCAGGCCTGGGCGCTCTCCCTGAGACTCTCTGTGCTTAAGGCTAGCGCTCTACCACTTGAGCCATAGCACCACTTCTGGATTTTTCTGTTTATGTGGTGTGAGGAATTGAACCCAGGGCTTCATGCATGCTGGGAAAGCACTGTACCATTCAGCCACCTTCCCAGCCCCAATAAATTCAATTTTTAACCTACACTCAACAGCCCTCATTTCTCAAAATGGTGCTAGGCTCCCGCCAGCTTCCCTTCTGCCGCTGTCTTCATTAGCTTGGTGGAGACGGGGCTGAAAACACCCTGGCCATCCAGGACCTCTATTCATCTAAGCCATAAGAAGCCCCAGCAAACTCTCACTGGGTTTTCTGGGGGCTCAGGTCCAATCGCTGGTCAACCCAGGCTCACGGCCCCAGGGACAGTCAGCAACCTTTCCTCTATCACCCTCTGCTATGCCCTCCTGTAGCCAGGCTGCCGGAAATCCATCCACAGTGCAGTGCAAGTCTGACTGGGGTTTCCCAGCTCCCCAGCTGCCAATCCCCACCTGTGCAGATCCTCGGAGCACTGCCCTGAGAAGAAACTGCCACGTGTGACTGCAGAGACCAACGCAAGTCTTCTGATGGCCACGACAAACCCTCGCACCACAGAAAGAGAGTGGTGGGAAGGGAGGAGAGCAGGAAGGATCGGGAGCAGCATGCTCCAAATCCTCCAGGGTCCTCAATATACAAAGAGCACTCACAAAATAACAAGCACGCCCGATAAAGCCCACAGGAGAAAAAATGGGTAGAGGATACGATGGTTTAAAAAGATGCCACCTATCAAGAGGGGCTGCCCGTATAAGTTGCTTTTGTGAAATAACAAAAGGAGAATTCAATACATATCCTAACAACTTTTAAGAAGAGCGAGGGAAGGGGTGGGTGGGGAGGGGTGGGTGAGGTTGTTGAAAGGAGTAACGCTGATCAAGACTCACTGCGTTCATGAACTGCTTTGTCAAATTCGTATGTCAAAAAGCCATACGAATAGCTCATTGATATATCAAGCAAGCCCTTAGTCAAAAAGAGATGACATCACCACAATACGATGATGTTTCCCTTACATTACTAGCAAAAAATTTAAGGTGTGATAATCATATTAAGAGTAGCAGCTGGCATGAAAATAGGTATTATCATCCTCATTGCCATAAGCAGAATGCACACAACAACTGCAGGAAACCTCAGCCCGCTTGAAATGGACATTGCACCCCGACGCTGGTGGCTCACGCCTGTAATCCTAGCTACTCAGGAGGCTGAGATCTGAGGATCCAGATTCAAAGCCAGCCCAGGCAGGAACACCCATGAGACTCTTAGCTCCAATAAACCACCAGAAAACTGGAAGTGGAGCTCAACGTGGTAGAGCACTAGCCTTGAGCAAAAATGCTCAGGGACAGCACCCAGGCTCAGAGTTCAAGCCCCATGACCCACAAAGTACCTCGTACTGTCTGAGGCTACGGAAGCTCAGCAAAGCACAAGGCCTAGCATGTTCTAGGCCACACCAGAAAGTCCATGCGACTCTAGAAATTCTAGTGTACAACTCTCATTTCTCTAGCAGGACAGAGCAGGGCTTTGCCCAGACCCCTCACCATCCCTGCTGGAGGTCATACTTGAGCTGATAAAGAAGCTACCATTTGCCTTTCTCCAGTCTCCAACTCCAGTGGTAATGTAGATTCAGCCAGCGTTCTGATTTGCCCAAGTTCAGTGGGGTGGGGTGTGAAGCGAGGCTTGGCACACAGATGAAAATGCAAAGTTGGGTCATGTCCTCGGTTCTTCTCCTCAGCTTCACCCCTTGCAGCCTGGTGCGTGGAAACCTGGAAATCCACAGTCGATAACAGAGCCCATCGGCCACGCTCTGCCTGTGGTCTCACTCAGAGGACCTCCCGCACTAGAAGCCACTGATGTGGAGGCCACAGATGAAACTAATGACCTCACGCATGGTCTTCCCTGAACAAAGCCATCAAAAGGCCCACGACGCCACGCCACGCCGGCCGCAGCCCGGCCTCCACGGCAGCCGAACGCCATCGATTTTATGCTGATTCCCTGAAACTTCAATCATTATTTTTCTCATCTTCTTCGAACTGTTTCTTGAGGAGGGAAAATGGAGTTGTGAGAGGTTTAAGAAATTATCTTGAGCTGACAATTACAGCCAGCCCTAACGTATTGGAGTAAGGGCAGCCCGGAGCTCTCACAAAAAGCTTTGCAAATGCAGACTTCTACTTCTGTCATGTACCCAATTTAAGGTTCACATGAAACTTGGGGTTTTTTTGCCAGTTCTGGGACTTGAACTCAGGGCCTGGGTGCTGTCTCTGAGCTTTTTTTCTCTCTCTCTCTCAAGGCTAGCGCTCCACCACTTGAGTGGCAGACAGCTCCATCATAAGGCCGGTACTTGTGGTTCATACCTGTCATCCTGAGATCTGAGAATGATGTTTCAAAGCCAGCCAGGGAAAGAAAGATCATGAGACTCTTATCTCCAATTAACCACCAGAAAACCGGAAGTGGCGCTGTGGCTCAAGGTGGCAGAGGACTAGCCTTAAGCAAAAGAGCTCATGGAAAGTACCAAGGCCTTGAGTTCAAGCCTCACCATTGACAAAAAAAAAAAATCTCATAGACTTTCCTACGCAGGCTGGCTTCAAACTATGATCCTCATATCTCAGCCTCCTTGAGTTGCGAGGATTTCATGAACCACCAGTGCCCAGATTAGATGACAGTTTTCATCTGTCCTTTAAAATTAAGCAATCCAGACTTCATGGGTGGCTCAAATGGCACAGTACCTGACTAGCAAGCACATAGCGAGGCAAGAAAAAAAAAAAGTAAATAAATGGACAAGTAAAATAAGCAATGTAGCCTAGTCAGTAAGGGAAGCACAGCTTTACTTCCAGTTACTAGGGACACTGAGGCAGGAAAATTGTTTGACCTGGGAGTTTGGGACCAGCATGCACAACACAGAACACAGCAAAACACTACCTTTAAAAAAAATGAAGAAGCCGGGCACTGGTGGCTCACGCCTGTAATCCTAGCTACTCAGGAGGCTGAGATCTGAGGATCGCGGTTCAAAGCCAGCCCGGGCAGGAGAGACCGTGAGACTCCTATCTCCAATAAACCACCAGAAAACCGGAAGTGGCGCTGTAGCTCAAGTGGTAGAGCGCTCGCCTTGAGCTGAAGAGCTGAGGGACAGTGCCCAAGCCCAGAGTTCAGGCCCCACAACCGACAAAAAAAAAAAAAAAAATGAAGAAAGAAAAGAAAGAAATTCACCGGCAAGTTCCCTGGAAATTAAATGATCAGAATGACTGCAAAACTTCAAATACAATCTATTGTAAGTCCTTGTGCAAAAGTTACCACTGGCCTTTTCTTTCTTTTATTAAGCGTATTAATTACTCCACATCTCAAATGAGTCTTAACTTATCTGAATACTTCTTTTCAGTACAGCCCTGTGTTAAATGAGGCTCACCCATGTTTCTCTCCCTAAGCAAGGGGAGGGAGCACTGGGAGCTCGTGCAATGCGCACACACACACTCACACACACACACACACACGTGCATACACATGCACGCATGCACACAGCGCCAATGGTTTTCTGATTGTTTTCTTTTTTTCTTTTGGAAAAAGCAGCCAGGAAAAAAAAAAGTAAGTAACACTGAGAAAAATCTTGAAAAGACACCTAGAAGCATACTGCTCCAGCATCTAGCCAATACCCCCAGCTTTACTTCCAGCATCTTCTGCCTACTTGCTCACCATGCAAAGCTCGTGTGGATTACCTGCTGGAAACAGGCACGCTGAGTTCTAATGAGGTTTTATGCATTGAGTGCGGGGGGGGGGGGCGCACAAGAAGCCTAAAGGCCTGAGGGCTCACCTGTGTGTCCCCGGAGGTGGTAGCTGGAGGCAGACAACAGCTTACAGCACACCATTAGTACATAGGCCAGAAAGAGCCAATGGAACAGCAACACTGACTTCGTGTAGACTCTCATCCTAAGGAGAGACAAGGCTGAGTCAGTGCAAAGCCAGAATGCCAGGCTCCTGGAAAATGCAGCCTGGGCAGGGGAGAAAAGAAGTCAACAGCCTCCAGACCCGCCTGGCTTCGCCCCAAGGTAGCCAGAAGCCAAGCAGACTTTCCTCTGTGCTGAGCAGTAACCCAGCTCTCCACAACTACCTTATATGCAGAGTGTTCCATATTAGGTACTCAGGAGGTTGTGATCTGAGGCTTGAGGTTCGAAGCCAGCCCAGCCAGACTCTGATCTCCAATAAACAAACAAACAAAAAAAAAAGCCAGAAGTAGAATTTTGGTTCAAGTCATAGAGTGCCAGCCATGAGCAAAAAAAAAAAAAAAGTGGGAGCTCACTCAGGACCTTGAGTTCAAGCCCCGACTCCAGTAAATAAGTAAGTAAGACAATAAAGGAGTTTTCCAAGTTAGCACCACGCCTTGGTGAAAAGTCTATTTGTGATTCACCAAGGCTCCAGTTCAGCTGTTCTAACAGAACATGGTGGTTAGATTCCATATTTTTAAAAATACACACTGCGAGTTACGGTCAAGTAAAAGTTGACATGGTTTTAGTATGTGAAAGGATCCATGGAGATGTTGGAGTCGTGGTCCAGGAGCTTCCTGGGTTCCTCGATTTGTCAATTAACACCCTCTGGTTTAAGGAAGATGGGCCTCGTAGTCTACTTAACCAACCTACAAGTTTAGGGAAGAGAACAGATTGAAGGGGAGGGGAGGAATAGGGGAGAGGAAGGGAGGGGGTGGGAGGGGAATAGGAGGAGGGGAGGGGAGGAAGAAGGAAGGGAAGGGGGAGAGATTCAACTCTTGGACACTCGGGGTCTGCAAACAATCACTTCACCTTGGAAATTTCATCAGAGATGGTCCCAGTCCAGCACAGTTAGTCCAGCACGTATTTTGGCGCCATTCCAAATTTCCATTTGTAGCAAGGACCCATTATTTTGGCAGTTCCAAAAAAATCCAATATGATCTTAGCTTGGAAGACCTATTTTGAAGAAGACACACAAAATGAAGAAAAGAAAAATAAGAATCAGTTTGCATTTTAGCATTTAAACGAAACTGAGTTCCAGCAGGAAAATAATGGGTTCACCAGGATGCTTATTGTTTCTAACAAGTGGGAGACAGCCCAATGCTTTCTATGAAAAGTGTTCCATCATGAGGAAATTCTGGATACTTCTCTCATCCCCTGCTTCATACAATAGAGTTTCAGTGCAGAAGTGTTCACAGCAGCAAAGGTATGACAGAGAGCCCCAAACCATACAACATTCACCAGGACGTCTTTCTCCCTGTTTCATTGACCATTGGATGAAGCCGAAATTCAGCACCATCTGTTCCCAAGAGATGATGTAACTTATCCAATCTCACAGAGCAGTGGAGAACCAGCCTGAAGACCCTAATTCTGAGATCCAGGTGGTAGAAACCTAAGCATGAGCAGGGCACTGGTGGCTCACACCTGTAATCCCAGCTACTCAGGAGGCTGAGAACTGAGGGTCGCGATTCAAACCAGCCTGGGCAGAAAAGTCCAGTGAGACTTATCTTCAATTAACTACCAGGAATCCAATAGTGGAGCAGAGGCTCAAAGTGGTAAAGCACTAGTCTTGAGCACAAAAGCTTAAGCTGGGCAGTGCCCAGGCCCTGAGTTCAAGCCTCACAATCAACAACAACAACAAAAAAAAAAAAAAAAACTAAGAATGATGCCGGACAGTCTCCATTTTTTATCTTTTTGATGTTAATGGAAGACAGAAAACTTCTTTCCAATGCAATTCATTGTGTCAAAAGGTAAAGAATACTTGGAACTGCCTAACACTAAACACTCAATACACCAACCTAAAAAAAACTACTTATTAATACTATTATTATATTTAAGTAATTATACAAAGGGGTTGCCATTTAACAAAGCAGTTTATGAATGCAATATATCTTGATCCATGTCACCCTTTTGAAGATTTGAGAGTGCGGAAGGCCCTCACTCTTCTTAATTTTGTAGGATATGCATTAGATGCTTATCTTGGTTCCAAACTGAAGACATCTGAAGAACAAAATGACACATCACTTTCCCTTCTTGCTAAATCAAATGCATCCCCTCCTGTGACAGAGATAAGCAGAAAACCATTGCACGCAGTGACAACCATTAAAGTTGCACATACCAAAAATGGATGGCAAGATGCAATCTCGTTGCTTTGGAATCTGGTGAACTCGCTGTAGGGTCACCACCAACCACAACTAAGATTTTGTTTTTCCATTTTTTCCTGTTTTCTAAATACCGAAAGCTAATGCTCCAGTTCAATGGGAGAATATTTCAGGTGATCAACGTCAAGTACAACCCCTGTGGGGCTTTAAGAAAGAAGGAAACTACACCTGGAGAGATTCATTCAACAAGAAGAAAAGGGGGACTTTTAATAACTGTATAAATATGAATTGCACAGAAAAAATGTTATCTCCCCATCCTCCAATTCTATTAAGTCTCCTGGTCCTCATTTCACCCAAGGGCATCACGTGAACTTCTGCTATCAGAAAGAAGTACAGTTTGTGAGAACCATCATAATGTATTGGAAACCAACTGACCTTTCCTGGCTAATATTTATCTTGTTTTCCTCACACAAAAGAAACCACTGGACATTCTTTTATGTTGTTTTTTCATTTAAAAATGACCTATCTGTGAAAAAGGCATGTAGTCTCATAGTCTGCATACCAGAGAGGAGCCACAGGTTTAATTTTTGGGTGGAAAGTAATTCACTCAACCTTTCCCCATCCAGTGGGTTAGGCACTTGCCTGAAAGGATTAACTCTCTCATGTCACTTCTATACTTGAGTGTGTGCAAGTCCACCCATCCATTTGTGTAATGTACCTACGCCATTCATCTCATCTCCCAACTCTTTCCAATCATAACATAGTCCTGGGCTGGGAAGGTGGCTCAGTGGTAGGTGCTTGCCTTGCATGCATGAGGCCCTGGGTTCGATTCCTCAGCACCACATAAGCAGAAAGAATAGGCCTTGGTTGGTTTTTGTTGTCGTTTGTTTCTCATGGCTAGCACTCTACTTCTTTTTTTTGGGGGGGGGGGGGGAGTTCAGTCGTGGGGCCTGAACTCTGGGCCTGGGCGCTGTCCCTCAGCTCTTCAGCTCAAGGCTAGCACTCTACCACTTGAGCCACAGCGCCACTCCCGGCTTTTTTCTTTTGCGGTGCTGAAGAATCGAACTCAGGGCCTCAGGCATGCAAGGCAAGTACTCTACCACTGAGCCACCTTCCCAGCCCCTAGCACTCTACTTCTTGAGCAACATCTCCAGATCAGCTTTCCCGCTAGTTAATGCTGGAGATGAGGCTCTTGCCAATTTTTCTGCCCAGGCTGGCTTTGAATCTCAAGCCTCTCAGTCTCCTGAGTGGCTAGGATTAGTGGTGTGAGCCACCAGTGCCCAACCAAAGACTTATCATAGTAACTAAGTGGCTGTGCACTCTGGGATCCAGGCTGTCCCTCTGGTCCCTCGCTCCTTACAATGACACCGGAAGACAGCAGGTTTGCTTGTTCTTTTGTTGTGGTGGTGTATTTCTGTTTATTTGTTTATTTGGGTTTGGGGTGTGTGTGTGTGTGTGTGTGTGTGTGTGTGTGTGTGTGTGTGTGTGTGTGTGTTGTTGATCCTGGACCTTGAACTCTAGGCCTGAGTGCTTTCCCTATGGTTCTTTTGCTCAAGGCCAGCACTCTACCACTTGAGCTATAGCATCACTTCTGGTTTTTTCTATGATTAATTGGGAGATAAGAGTCTCACAGACTCTCCTGCCCAGGCTGGCTTTGAATCATGATCTTCAGATCTCAGCCTCCTGAGTAGCTAGGATTATAGGCATGAGCCACGGGTGTCCGGCTATTTGCTTGTTTTTTTAAGTCCATTTAAAAGGTGGTTTTTTTTTTAAATCAGTCATTCCACTTACTTAGGTAAGGACAAAAATATCAAGTAAGCAATGGACTCAGGGCTCCAAAAGTCCCTCCCCCCACCAATAGCATTAAAAAACAACAATAGGGCTCAGTGGTAGAGCGCTTGCCTTGCATGCATGAGGCCCTGGGTTCGATTCCTCAGCACCACATAAGCAAAAAGAAAAAAGCCGGAAGTGGCGCTGAGGCTCAAATAGTAGAGCACTAGCCTTGAGCTGAGGAGCTGAGGGACAGCGCCCAGGCCCAGAGTTCAGGCCCCACGACTGGACCCAAACAACAACAACAACAACCCAGGATGTGGAATTTCCATTGAAAAGTTAGCTGAACATTTCACTGGTAACTGTCATTTAGATATGAGCTAGGTACCAGTGGCCATGCCTGTATCCTACCTAATCCGGAGGCGAAGATTGGGAGGATTGTACTCTAGGTCAGCACAAGACCCCACTTCAATCAATAGCTGGACAAGGCGTCAGGGCTGGGAAGGTGGCTCAGTGGTAGGTGCTTGCCTTGCATGCATGAGGCCCTGGGTTCGATTCCTCAGCACCACATAAGTAGAAAAAGCCAGAAGTGGTGCTGTGGCTCAAGTGGTAGAGCACTAGCCTTGAGCTGAAGAGCTGAGGGACGGTGCCCAGGCCCAGAGTTCAGGGCCCACGACTGACCAGAAGATAAAAATAAAAATAACACAGCCCTGAGTCTGTTTCAAAAGTCATTGATTTTTTTAAGGGTGTTCCTAACTCTCCATGATGAAAGACGCTGCGCATACATAGGCTTACAAAAACAAAACCTTGTTCAGAATGCATCTGCTTATTGAACTCGAATGACACAGACAACATTTGGACGCTGAGCTCCATTTTCATCTTCTACCTGAAACGTTGACATGATGACATTATGTGGGCTTGGTTTCTCCTTTACCACAGAAGAGCAGAATATCTATTTATGTTTCCTGGGCTCTGGAAAAACTTTGAGGTTCCCAGGCAGAAGACATCATTCTTCAGATGTTTAATTTATTTCTGTGTCACACAGAAAAATTCTGTCTTCCCTTGAGATCTTTTCAAGGAAATGAAAAGCCTGTGCCTTTCCTTCTCTTGATCTACTTGCCTCCTCAATTGGGGAGGGGGAAGGGTGAAATCCTAAGAGAATTGTTCTTTCAATGTAGAGTCATTGGTTTGTGGATAAGCACACCGTGGGAGCATCTCTTGTAGAATTCCCACCACGCCCCTCGCTGCACACATGTCAATCTATGCAGTAGCTTCTACACAGGCTCTGAGAGTCTATTGGTTCCTTTTAAAGTCAGAAGACAAACTAACTCTATACCTGCAACTGATCCTGAGAGGAAAAAAAAAATAGACAAGCCGAAATGTCAGAGGCTTTTGAAGGCCATTTACAATATATTTGCTATGCATTCTTACTATCAAGGTCACAAAAGGACACATGCACACAAAAAATATGTCAACCCAATACAATTGTGATCTGAAATTGGATCTCACATGAGGAAAAACAAATGTGTGCACACAGTCATTCCCAGAATGCACTGCGCATACCCCACATACCCAGAGCCACAAAGAATATTCCTCCAGCATGTAACAATAACTGGATACAACCTGTAGATCAAACTTCAAAACTCTATCAATATTAACTCCCCTGAGTTCCATCACCATAGTGTAGGTAAGAAAGAAAATTCCCTTGTTATTAAAAAAATATCCCAAAATGCTTAAGAGAAAGGGGTAAATGTTTCTAACTTAGTTTCAAATGATTCCAAGGAAAATAAAGAGAGAATGAAAAGGTAAAGGAAAGAAAGCATGAGTGAGCAAAGGAGGTCATGACAGAAGACGCACAGAATGGATAGATGGGTGGATGGGAGGATGGATGGGTGGATGGGGTGAATGGATGGATGGATGGGTGGGTGGGTGGGTGGATGGATGGATGAATTGAT